GCCAGTATCTTATGGGGGGCTCCAGCTTTCAGTGGTGTGGTTTTGGGGGGGCAAGCACTGTTCAATATCCATTCCTCCATTTTTTAGTTGGGGGGGCCTGGGGGGCACCAGGAATTTGCCCCCCGACCTTCCCACGGCTACGCCACTGAGCAGAGCTGCATATAGAATAATGGAGTGAATACATCAGGTGCTTAGTAATGTGCATTAAAAGCATCAGTGAGAGTACCAGCGCATGAGCCAACTTGTGTACGTACTCCATTTGTTTGCACTACGCTTCTGCTTCAGGTTATGTCACGCTTCGGTACTCGGTAGAAAGAGTAGTGCTAACTTCAGACTTTGGAACCAAAATGGCTGTTCAGAGTGTGCACATTTTGTTTCCACCATGGCGGCAGTCACATCGCAGTTCTGTCTATATTTGGCTCTGCAATGCCCCCTCCGGAAAAAAATTTGAAAAAAGGGAAAGGAAGGGAAGGCACGAGAAACCGCAAAAGGAGGAAACAAGATGAAAATGACGCTCAAAACTTTTCCGAATTTACCATCTTCGACTGTTATTGATTTATTAGTTTTCACCTAACTCCAGTGTCAATGAATTTGTTGAAATACCACTCTTAATAAACTTTCTCATCAACTGATTTTGTTCCTGCATTGTTTTGCAGAGGACTGTGAATTTGAGACAGGAATGTGTACCTGGACTCAAGACCCTAACGATGACTTTGATTGGCTGTGGTCCAGTGGGGACCAGCCGCACGGCACTCAGCCACCAATAGATCACACAACAGAAACCAGTTCAGGTAGATTTTTATTTACGTTGTGATCAGACGTTTGTGAATTTCAATGCTGAGTTGCCCCATGTAAAGTGTAATTTGAAGGGGGTGTTTGTGCATATGTAGCTGAATTCATGACTGGGTAATTCTAGAAATTACGGGTCCAGTTTTTGTGTCCCTGTCACATCTGACATGTATGATTTTGTAAGTTCAGAATGCATTTTCTATTTTCCAAGAGTGAATCAATGCAAATTACCTGCCAAACAAATAGTAATAGTTTGAATTAAATTCTAGTGATATTTCCATGTCAGTTAAATAACAAAGGTCAGATGTAAAGGGACAAAAAAGTCACACTTTTGAACCCCTAATTTCTGGAATTGTCTTACTTCAAGGTGAACAATGTAAGGTATATAAATTGTATCAAAAGTAAATTGTTGGTTGTGTGAGAATAGCCCTTGTCTCCTTGTAGAAATGATTATAAGTTGGGCCGTCGGGGATAAAAAGCATGTCATGCATTATTACCACCTCTCTGCTGGCCAAAAGTAAATAAAACTCTAAAACCCGCTCACGCATTGTGGAATTCAAAACAGAAAGCAAATCACGGAAAGATGGGTTTTAGACAATGCTTGTATCAGTCCAGAAATGACAACTAGTTGGACTGTTGGGTATTAATGAAGATTCGATGCATCATGAATGGATCTTTACTTTTGCCATCCAATAGGAAAATACGCCCTGGTCACCATGGCGAAGCCACTGACGACAGGCGACAAGGGGCGACTGCTCAGTCCCAAATATGAAGACACGCGGGGCGAGTGCGTGCGCTTCTGGTATCACATGTTCGGCAAGAACGTAGGGACCCTGCGCGTCCTGGCCTTTGACCTGCAGACCAACCTGGACAGCCCCGCAGCCTGGGAACAGACTGGTACGTTGCCTTCTCTCTGTGTCTTTGAGTTTGTTGTTGACATAAACTACCGTGGACCTAAGAAGGAAACAGGTCCACATCTTAATGAAGGCTGTGGGCAAACGTTAAAACGATGCCAGGTCCCCATGAGGTTTCCCACTCTTCTTGTTATTTGTTTTAATGGCGCTTTCAGCAACTCAGGCTATTTGCGCCAATAACTGTACGTTTACTCATACACTTTATTAATCAGCATCACATTAAGGAGTTAGGAAGAATGTCCAGTTTTAGAGGCAGGGGGAAACCGGAGTACCCGGAGAAAACCTGCGACAGCGAGTATGGACTGGAAACCAAATGCACTTAAAGCTTGGGCCAAGCCGGGACTCGAACCCGGGCCTCATTGGTGCAAAGCGAGGAAAGAACTGCCACGCTAACCCACTCCTCCTTTCCCACTCTTGGTTCAGAAGCAAAAGACCAATCCACTGAGCCCCACCCATAGTCTCTCAACCAATCACAGCTGTGATCTGTGGCCGGCACGTGTGTACAAAAATTTGGCATGTGTGCACATGCACGTGACACGCCCAGCTGCAAGCTGCAGTTTTGTATTTAAAAGAAACGGGTGTTAATTGCTTACATGTGCAGTTGGAGGGGATAAATAACTTGATCGGTCTATTTGTGGATAGGGTTGTTGGGAAACAGATTAAGAGGGACGGTCTTGGCAACCTTGAACAGAAATCCACCCAATAAAAGAGTGTCCGCAGTGCAAGGAAGCAAATATTTTCTGAGCTTGAATTCACGTTTGTTCAGAAAGTACCTGTCTTAAATTTGTCTCTGGTGTGCGGCCTTAAGGTGAGTACATACTTCAGGTGAAATTGCAAAAGCAAAGCGACTTTGATATCACGAAATGCCAAGAGAGAAATTCGCTTGAGTCGAAATGTTTTCAACGTTCGCAATTTTGCAGCACGAATATTTGACCTAACTTCACAAATTCGCACCCGTGTTTGCTTTTGCACCGAGTTTGAACCACCCGTAAAAAGTTTGTGAGGGGTTTTGCATGGCAGTCCTTTTTCCAGAAGAGTCTAATTTTGTTCCACGGGGATACAGATAAGTAGACCTTTTTTGCCATCCTTCCATAACAAAAGCAGTTGCCTGCAAGATGGCTGCCTTGCACAATCTCTATAGAACGTGCATTGACGTAGGCAAGCAGAATTGGTCGTACTTAGTGGCACTTGATTACAGCAGTTGTTGGAAGTGTGCTAGCATTTTCTCTATCCAGCCTGTATTGCTCAGTCTTCATGTTTGACGTCTCAACAGGCCACCAGGAGAACAAGTGGCGGTTTGGACAGGCCACAGTCTCGGCCGGCCACCCCTACAAAGTGGTCTTTGAGGCTGAGGTCGGGTCGAACTCCAATGCCGACATAGCCATCGACGACGTGGACATCGTCGACGGGAAATGCTCCCGACAAGGTGAGAAGACAGGTTGATACGGGATGACCAACAGACAGACCGACAGATAAAAGATTGCCCAGGTGTCTTTCGAAATTTACCCAAATCCAAACCAGTGTCCAAAAGCAATGGCTATGGCTGAAAAACACACATACCCATGGAAGTCACTTGTTAGTGGCTGTCCTCCACTTCTCATAAACATGCATGTTAGCCCCAGCTCACCGATACGGACACAAACTACTACTCTGTAGTCAAAGCAAGTGGTGCAATTTTGGTACATACAAATATTTATGAAAATGGCATGCAACGGCCCACTCCATTGAGGATCGCATTTACAATCTTTGACCTCGTGTTGTGTCTCATGTCCAACTCAAGCGGCTGTAATTAGAAGTAACACACATCTATTGAAAGAAGTTGCAGCCACTAAGCAACAGGCGCACATGCTAATTCAGAGGCAGAATTCACATCAGGCCTAAGTAGTCATGTATCAGTGGATATGTTCTCATAAATACAAGAGCATTCAAATTATCACTGCTTTCTCTCTCTCCAAAAGGTTTCTGTGACTTTGAGGATGATCTATGCGGCTGGAGCAATGAGGACTCGCTAGATGATCTGGACTGGCTGCGATCCAAGGGAAGCACTCCAAGCTCCTACACTGGGCCATCAGTAGACCACACCACCAACTCTATATATGGTAATGAAATATTTCAGTGACAATGACAATGACAATGACGATGACTGGTTGCAATGTAAGGGAAGCACTCCAAGCTCCTACACTGGGCCATCAGTGGACCACACCACCAACTCTATATACGGTAATGAAATATTTCAGTGACAATGACAATGACGATGACTGGTTGCGATCCAAGGGAAGCACTCCAAGCTCCTACACTGGGCCATCAGTGGACCACACCACCAACCCTATATATGGTAATGAAATATTTCAGTGACATTGACCATGACAATGACTCTGACTGGCTACAATCAAAGGGAAGCACTCCCTGCTCCTAAACTGAGCTATCAACTGACCAAACCACCAACTCTATATATGGTATAAGAATGATGTCAGTGATAGGGTCAGTTTACAGTGACAGGCTCCTAGCTCCAACATTGGGCCATCAATGGACCACCCCACCAACGCAGTGGAGCGCGTTGCGACACAGTTAAAATGACTGTTACACTGACCATGACTGTCTGCACCAAAAAAAAAAGCACCCCAAAAGGGAAAAGGTCTCGAAGCTTCTGCACCATGCCATTAGCAGGGAAGTCGCTGATGGACCACACCCCCAAATATGCTTATGGTACTGACATGTCATAGTCACAGTGACATTCACAGGGACTTCGGGAAGCCAAAATGAAGGATAGCCAATACTCTGATGCTAAACTTGATGTACGGGGCAGTTCCTTTAATGTCAGTGGTGTTCCATTATTTATTTCAGGCTTGTACGTCTTTGTGGAGATGTCCCATACGCCCATCAACAGCAAGGCCTGGCTGGTTAGTGAATACCTGAAGGCCACCCAGGGAGCCTGCCTGATCTTCTGGTATCACAAATTGGGCGCACGTGAGTTGGTGCTCTGTTTTTGGGGTTGTTTTTCTTTTGTGGAGAAACAGGACCTGCCGTGTTTCTAATAGAAAGTCTGAGAATTTGGTGGGCCTGTACGAGATAGCTGTGATATTTTGCCATTGCCAAATGGTCAAGTCTTATGACTGCAGTGTAGAACCTCAAACTTTAAGAACGTAGCCTTAGTGTGGTGCAGTAAATTTAATATGTTCGAATTAAATTGGGTTTCAGGTGCGGTCACATGATAATGGCCCAAGACGATGGAGAGGGATGATACCTAATAATAACACCCTTTTCAGATAAAAGTAAAGAAAAAGACAATAAGCCTGTAGGCTGATGACAACCTTCATTCTTAATCTTGTACACTTTCTCAGGGGGTCTTCGTTGTTTCCCTTGCTTCAAAAGCATGCTAAAAGCACCAAAATGTAGCCTCAGCTCTCAGAAAGGCAAAAGAAATTTCCAATTTTTTGGCTCCCCAACCAACAACCACCCCCCCCGGAAAAAATTGATTCTGATTCCGTCCTTGTCCTGTCCTGGATATTCATGAATACTTCAACATGCAGACCTTCAAATCTCGTAGCGCTAGGCGTGCCAATTAGATCTGGCTTTCAAGCATCTACCAGCAAACCATCTGATAGAATCATCTTATCAGACCGAAAATGTTACTGATGTATTGCTCAATTTTGTTGCTTTTGACCGATGGTGCAGACTCGGGTGAGCTGAACGTACATTACCTGGATGACGCTGGCTTCACCACCAAGCAGATGACCATCACCGGGGACCAAGGTGACGTCTGGCTGCAGGGACAGCATGACATGTCCAGTGACAAAGACTTCCGGGTATGGCTGGCCTTACTTTAAGATTGACTTTAACCCCAGCCCCAACTCTAAACCTCATTTTAATCCTAACCCTGCTCTTTACTTAACTTAGTTGGTCTTATTCACAGGTGAGCCATTTTGAACTTAAAAGCAAAGTTAACGTAGTTACTTTAAAAGCCTGAGAATAAAAATGAAAGCAACAAATAAAAGCTCATCACAAGATTGTCATTTATGCAGATAAATAATTTGAAATTTACAGTTAATTATTTCAAAAATGTTTTAAACCACATTAAAAAAAAATATAAAAGTGAGGCATGCAACATGTAATAGTCTGGCATCCCATGCATGTAGCAGATAACAGTGAATAAGATTGATTCTTGGAACATGATTAAAACCAGTCTCCCTGTAAATAAGGTCTGTAATACCCTAACCTGTCTTTCCTGTGCTAAGTGATTCTGCGAAATTGCAGGCTTCGTCACTTTGCCCGATTTCATCAAGCACGCCAAATACGTCATTTTGCTGTTTTTAATTAATGCAGGTCGTCTTTGAAGCGGTGTGCAATGGATGGCAGGGCGACATTGCACTTGACGACATTGACATTGAACCGGTATCCTGCTTTGCGGGACAAAACCCCTCTACCCCAGCTCCACGTGAGTCTACCTCACCCCAACATCGCCCCCGGGGTCAACATGTACCCCCGCGTCCTTTAACATCACACCTAACATTTGTCTGTCATTCATAGGCACTGATATATTACCATCACTGCTCTGCGGGCTCACAACATCTGAACTAAACAACATATAGCCTACAAGTAGCAGTGTACGGTACAGAAATTCACAGTGAATATGCGTCAAGCGTAACGTAATCGCCTGGGCACCATTGGAGCAAGCGATACGCCTGCACGGTAGACGTTAATGCACAAGCGCAGTTTGCGCCCCCAGGCACACACACACTTGATACACCTGTGCACACCTCAGCCTGTGCATTAACGTCCACTGCGCAGGCGTATCGCTTGCTTGATTGGTGCCCTTGGTGATTACACCTTCTTGGCAGAGTTCTCCATCTTGCACCGCTGTGCATTGCTGTAGGATCTTTGATCTGAACATTCCGCAAGACCATCTCAGCTCCCTGGGGAGTGTACTAGCCTGATGCTGGCATTTCAGACAATGACAGCAAGTACCCATTTACTCCTGGGAGGAGAAAATTAACAAGCATGGAGTTTGTGTTGACCATCTGACATTTGTTTACAAATAGGAGGGTTTGGTCGCGTAATGCCGCCCTTTAAAAGTTCTGTGCTGTACCGGCGTGTCTATTTAAAACAAAGATAGTTCTGAAGTTTTGAACGAGTATTGTTTAGTTTTAAGTCAATTGGGGGCAAAAGATACTTGTCTGGGTCACTTAACAGTTACCTGTTGGCATGCCATTACTTGACTTGTGGTCTACTGAAATTTGTATTTGCTGATGTCTATCATGTTTCTTTGGGGGCATGATATTGATGGTGAAAACAAAACAAATACCGCAATTTGTCCCAGAGGACTTTTCCCTGGAAACCAATCCCAAGATGAGGCCACATTTCAGTATGACGACAGAAAAAGGGATGTGTTCCCATCTTTTCAACACGGTAGATCCTTTTTTGCTTTCTTTCAGCGATGGATTGCACCTTTGAGACCGATCTCTGCGGCTACGACCAGATGAAGGACGATAACTTGGACTGGACCAGGCACATTGGCTCCACATCAAGTTCGTACACAGGCCCGTCTCACGACCACACCACTGGCAAAGGTAAACGAAAAATCCCCCCCTCCCAAAGTTGACTCATGAGTCAATTTATGAAGGTGCACAGTATTCACATTTTGCCAAGATTGTTCTTTTTGAGCAAATTGTACCAAGCAAACATCATCTGTGACTCTGAGCCAGTTTGGATGGAAGTAAAGGGAAAAAAGGGGTTTGGGCTTTTTATCTACTGTAGTGTTAATGACTCCAGTCATGGGACTTGCACTTGAGTCAGACTTGAGTCGCTACTTTTGTGATTTGTGACTGGGCCCGTGTATCAATTACCAGCTTTGAATTGTTAGTACTCGACTTGGACGTGCCAAAAATGACTTGTTACTTGACTTGGCCTTCCTAAATTATGACTCGAGGTCTGAAGCTTTTCATGGTGGAGGCAGCAAGTAAACTAGATACATGTAGGTTTGCAGTAGCACCATGGATATATCTCTTTTTGAGTATGTGAGGTTCCACACCCCACTGTCCTCTACACACCAGCTGTCTCATCACTGGACCTTTTGCAGTCTCCTGACGACGGACAGAGCATACTGTCCGAAACATTGAGTACCACCGGTTCATTTCAGAACCCCACGTACTCAAAAAGAGATATGTCCATGGTGCTACCGCAAACCTATCTAGTTTAATTTTGACTTGTCACCCAAAGAAGCTGCTCGAGGGACCACACAAACCTTTACGTTAGACCTATTAATTCACGCCTTGCATGTAGTAACAAAAATTGACTTAGGTTTGCCAGAAGAAAATCAGATATAATTTGTTTCGCGGCTTCAACTTACTTCATCAGGTCTGCCCTGCTGATGTGGGGCTTGGGTAAATACGGCCCTCAAGTTGACACCTTGCCCTGTTTGCTCATGACCACTGGACAGAACAATGTGTGACTTGTCTTGTAGTTTGACAAAGCGACTTCTGAATTCACTCATTTTCGGACCAAATGACTCGTGACTTGACCTGGACTTGGGGGGAAAAAAGACTCGCTGCTAGCTCTGTCATTTCTCGAGACTTAGTCAGAAATAGATAACTACTTTCTTGTGCGAAGCACGGCTCACAAGAAGGATCAATAACCAACCTCTTCCTTGTTTGTGTCGCGCTCTCTTCTAGGATACTACATCTACCTGGAGGCGTCCTTCCCCCAGACAAAGGGAGACAAGGCACGCATCAACTCCCCCGCCCAGAACCCCACCACAGGCCGCTGCCTACAGTTCTGGTACCACATGTACGGCCCGCACGTGGACCGGCTCAACGTCTACCTGCGGGACGACCAGCTGAAGGATAGCCTCATCTTCACCAAGTACAGCACGCAGGGGAACCAGTGGCTGCGGGGCCAGAAGGAGGTCACGTCGGACACGCTGTGGTCGGTGAGGGGAAACGATTCTTGCCATTTCTGTCCCACTCCCCGCCTCAATAGAGAGGAAAGACAATCTGCCCCGAGTTGATGAAGTGCGCCCTCATGGGCAAAGAAGAAATAGCTTGGTGGGAGGATTTTCCAACGGGGCATGTGCAGTTAGTTCTCTCCACTTGCATGCACTTGACAGACTTTGGGTTTTTTTTCACCATGCTACAACAGGTGGTCTTTGAAGCCGTGGTAGGAACGTCGTATTACGGGGACATAGCCATCGATGATATCTCACTGGATGACAAGCCCTGTGTTGACTTATGTGAGTTGCCTATTAAACGCCAAAAATAAAAACAAAAGGGCAATATGGAAATCTGTTAACAACAATAGGCTGTGTTTAAAACTATGGCTTGGGCTTTGATTACCTAGTGTGCTTATGGAAGCCATTGGCTAGCGGCTTCCTCCACTGCCAATAGATGTGTGTTTACTGCTGGCCACAGCCTCAACTTTTGAACACAGCCTTACTTCCTACCGTAGCTGTAACAGGAAGAAATACGTCATTGGGTGGGGGGGGGTTATTTAATACTAGACATGGTTTTCAGAAAGCTTTCAGTTTGGGAAAAAAATTGAGGAAGTGTGGCTGGCCATCATTTGACTCATGGGTGTGCTTGTTGCGACCTTGTTTTTATTACAACTGCGATGCACATAGCTTTCATTCTGTTCCCCTTCCTGAAAGCTTTTCACAGCCATTTTCACTTTTTAACCATATGATGTTGATGTTGATGCTCTTCTTTTCCCGCGGGGTGGAATATCGAGGAACAGAGTTGACTCTCTCTGTCACTAACTTTTCTCTTATCGTGCTCACCGTGTCCTTCCAACCGTCCACCTGTGCATTCCTTGTAGAAATCTAATATGTCAAGTTAGTTTTTTTCTTTGTTTTGTTGCCCTCAGCCGTCTGCGATTTCGAGATTGATCTCTGTGGCTGGACTCATGACTCAACGGCTGACTATGAGTGGCAGCGAGACTTCGGAGGCACGCCCTCAACAGGCACTGGTCCGAGCAAAGACCACTCCACGGGAACCAATGTTGGTGAGTGGCATGTCCCCGATAGCAGTCTATCTGATACTAGATGTGGCATTTTTTACAAGTAATGCATCTGAGTTATTTCCTCTCAGTTGGAGTCCTGAAGTCACTAGATTTAACTCCAGACCTCTCTCACGGGGCAGCCATCTTTCTTTTCAACCATTCAAAGCGATGTTACCCTACTGAGACAGGAAGGAAAACTAGTCGGTTTCCTTTTATCAAAATGTGAAGCTGATGATCGGTTTACAGGGTACAAGACAAACATGGCAGCATTATGACAGAGGTCTAAAGTCTTAATTATTTGGTTCAATTCTGAGAAAATCTGTGTCCCAGTCAGCTGGGAGCAATACTGACCAGCCAGGATGAGCCAGCGGGTTGGAAGAAGACTTTACTTTGCTTTTCTCAGACTTATGTGTTGTCTGGGTCCTGACAAGACTCCCTTTAACTGTTCCCCAAAGTTTTCGGCAATTCTGTTCAGTGTGGTACATGTAGTTGAGTACTTCACAGGTACTTCACAAGTACTTCATAAGTACTTCGCCCATAATCAACATTGCAGATACCTTGGTCTCAGGTTAAACCAAACTCTATTCATCTGAATGCATTCCTTTGTCAGCATTCCTAGCTTTTAGCTTTGAAAGTACTTTTGAAGGGTCTCATGGAAACTTGTGTGTAGTAGTTCATTACTCATAAGAATAAGTCATTTGACATTTCCATTGGTAGAATACCAGTGCTGTATTTGCACAGGTTGCAGGTTCACGACCCACCCTTGTCAATTCCTAGGTAATTTTTGACATTTAGTGATGCACCAAGCGAGTTCCCCCTATGATTTACCTCATGAGAGCCTGTATCCTTCCCCCCCGTCAGGTTACTATGTCTACCTGGAGACGTCCGTCCCCCACCAGCAAGGCGACAAAGCCCGACTCCTCAGCCCCGTTTTCGACGACACATACGGGGAGTGCCTGCACCTGTGGTACCACATGTACGGCAGCGACATTGGACAGTTCAACGTCTACGGCTACGACACGGTCACCAACGTCAAGTCCAAGGCACTGTTTAGCCTCTCGGGTAAGCGGTGGGCAGAGAGCAACTGTATATGGAGTCTGACTTGCATGTTTATTAAGATTGATGAGTAAACAGTGGAAAGTATCACCGTCGGTGTAATTTTTTGTCTTTTGTTTTGCAGGCAACCAAGGGAACGAGTGGCGCTTCACCCAGATCACCTTCAACGCCCCCCACGACTACCAGATCATCATTGAAGGGGTCAGGGGCAAGTACTGGCAGGGGGACATTGCCATCGATGACGTCCTTCTCACCACTGGAGCCTGTCCTCGAGCAGGTTAGCTGAAAATGCAGAACATCATCCTTTGTCACCGTCCCGGGAGTGTGAATGAGGGATTTGTATCCCTGCTTTGTATCTTTTGAAGTGAAGGGAAGCTGTGCTTAAACGTTGCTCCTCACCTTCAAATTGCATCTCTATAATATTTTCTCAAAGTACTTGGTGCTAGCCTTAAAACCTCATAATAATTACAGGGTTCTCACAACTTGTTGAAAATGTGGAAAGTCGTTGAACTTTATTTTCAATTTCCAGTTCTGGAAAAGTCACTGGAATATTTAGCAAATATAATACAAATCAAGGAATTTTGTTAAAAACCAACTTGCTTTTCAAAGTTTAGATCTGACTTTGATACGAAGCAAATGACGGCCTTTACGTGGATTGGTGATTATTTGTCACAGAACAAGTTGTACAGTTTTCACTTGAGTTTGTGTTCTCATGAATTAGGTCAAAGGTTTTCACTTAGTTTGGTCACGGAAAAGGGGTGGAACTATGGGTGGTCCTAAACTTAACAGTCATTTGCAAAAGTTTATCACCACCTGTACAAAATTACAAAATACATTAACCTGAAGAAAAACCAAACTTAAACCAATTAATCCATGGCAACTTATGTTTGTTTTCAATGTGTGAGCTTAGTATCTTGGTCAAGCAACTATTTGACGACATCTCCATGATTTGAAATGTTAAAAGGCTAATATTCAGTGCGCCCTCCTTTATTTCTGATTATCTTAACAGACTGGCGTTTATTACCCATGCTGCCTTACACACAAAATGTCATACAAGACCTGCCTTTGCAAAAAATTTCATTCAAATGGGTATATAGCACTTCACTGATGTTATGCACCACTGTAAAATCATGTTAAGTAACCATTCAATGAGACAATATAATTCAGGCCCTGTGACAGAAATAGCAATACAATTCCAGGTGGTCTGGAACTTTTACAAATGACTGTAAGGTGCAAGAACCCTGCATTTAGAATTACTTGTTCCTCAGTGCTTCTCTGTTCACGCTTTGATCTATGACCCCCTCAGGGTTCTGTGACTTTGAGCGTGACATGTGCGGCTGGACCAATGCTGACTCGGGCGACCAGTGGGACTGGCTCCGGACCAAAGGGGGCACGCCGAGCTTGTACACGGGTCCGAGCACAGACCACACCACCAACTCGGACAGTGGTGAGTTGCTGTGGCAGCATTTCTCAAGCCTTCTTGTTTTTCAAATGCATATCAAGCCCAATTTCCATATCGACAAGAAGAGACACAGAGAATTGCTGGAGAGTCGCTGACAATATGCAGTGATGTAAAACACTTGATCGTGACAAGCTAACACAACCGTCAGTGGAGACAATTGGGAAAGTTGGATCGGGTTCAACTTTACCGACTGTGTTCAGTCACCAGAGAAAGCCTGTACAAACACACCGGCATGGTGGGCATGCAGTGATGTCTCTCTTGTCGTGTACCCCTCCTTCTTGCCATTTTCTCCTCATTCAACGGTCTGCAGGCCAATTTGTGAATAAAATAGCTGACCACAAATAAAATACATCAAACTGGAGTATCAGTTTGGCTTCAAGAGGCAGCATTAATTGCCACCGAAAACAAGGTATTTTATGCAAACATTTTCCGAAATTGGGATGCCGTTGTGTTAAAATTTTTTGATGAAATGATGTGATGCAGCATCCCTTTGCAACGGTTTGTGTCTTGACGTCATGGCTGTCATCAGTTTTCATTGGAATTTTGTTCAGGTTCTCTCATTTGTTATCTTTTTTAACAGGCTTCTACATCTACTTCGAGACGTCCCTCTCGGGAATGAAGAAGAACGACAAGGCGGTCCTGCGGAGCCAACACCTGGCCATCACCGGCGGCTCCTGCCTCTCCCTCTGGTATCACATGTACGGCAAAGGTACGTTGGCAGACCAATGCCTCGTTTTGTCGTGACTGTCCTGCAAATGAAACGATTAGTCTGATCCTACACAGAGGAGCTCTAAAATCTCTGGGCAAATTCGCTTTTGTATCCGGCCTCAATCTAAACAGCCGGGAATGGAGTCTGCCCGCTCTTATCGTTGCAATGCAGTTTTTCTATTGCTTGTAGCCCTCAATGTATTCCTTCCTGATCTCTTGTGGTTGTTTCGACATCAGTTTTGTGAAAACCAGACCCATAATTCTCACAAAGTGTCAACGTTCTCTCAAGGCAGTCAGGTTAATATATTAACTCTCATTCTGTGCTCAACGTATGGAATGACACGTCTACGAGAGAGCATTAAATGACTCTAACACCAAATCCCTTGATAATTAAATTGAATTGACACTTGAGACATGGGCATCTTCACATGCAGGCCAGGACTCAAAGAGATTGGCCATGAAACTTCTAGGGTGAACATTTCTTAGTTTTGATGTTCTTAACCACACTCACTTTTCCATTGGGCAAAATGATCAAGAAAATGAACTTAGATGGCCTGGATTCCCTCACTAACTTTTCAGGCATCGGAACCCTGACCGTGTACACAGAGGACAACAAGAACGCCAAGATCAAGCAGTGGTCGCTGAGCGGGGACCAAGGTAACATCTGGCTGAAGAAGCAGATCCAGCTGACCAGCACTGTGGAGTACCAGGTAGGCAGGATACCAGTGATAAAAACCACCATGCTTTAGCAAGCCTCCAAGCAATACTTGCCTAGTATAACTGTCAAGTTTCACAGGATTTTCAACTGAATGATGCATTAAAACCAAGAGCTCAGTTTGCTTATTCTAATGCAAAATAAACCAACGCGTACTTCAGTTTTTGGACCCAATGACATTTGTGATTCGTTCTGTAAAATGGATTCACATGTTGCCAGAACCACTTTTGAGTTGAAGGCCTCTGAAAGTATCTTGCATAGTGTTTCAGCAATAGGAGTCCTCAACATTTTGACATCTACACAACGTCCATTTTCATTGTACCAAACTGAGTGACACATCGAAAGAAAGAGCTCAAATTCCTCGATCTAAGACAATTGCCGCACCCCCAAGATTGACACGAGTGTCTGTTATTGCCACTAGCTCAGACCCAGTCTGACCCGCAGAACTGTTTTATTGGTTTTTTGACAGGTGTTGATCGAGGCCACGTATGTGAATGACTGGCGAGGGGACATAGCCCTGGATGACCTTGATCTAGAGCCCACGCCGTGCGTCTTCCTTCCCACGCCAGCACCTACGACACCTGGACCTCCCACTCACCGTAACTAAGCCCAGATTCCTTAAATCAATGCTTGATTGATTTGCTGATTGCAAAGTCCTAAAAGTTGTATTAAGGCTAACACGTCAAACAGAGTTTTACCGGAACCGAATTTCACGGCTGAATTCTCATTGTACGCTCCAAGTGCTACCATTAATCGCTCTGCCACGTCTGCAGAAGAAGAATTTTTCTTGTCACCCCGATTTCCTCCATTGTTTCATTGTCTACCTCTCCCTCCTCAAGAACCCTCTCATCCCCTTCCAACCCCCCTCCACCCACTGGGTTTCTCAATTATACCTCCTCCATACATCCTCCATACCAACCCACTGTGTTCATTATTGCACCCTGTGCACCCACCCATTGCCCTTCACACGACCTGAATGGGTTCCTTAGTTATAAAGCTACTCATCCCCCCATACCATGTACCCCTCCTGGGTTCCTTGATTGCCCCATGTACACCCACTCATACCACTCCACGCCACTCTAGTAGGTTCTATTGATTGTACCACCCATTCGTCCCTCTCATTACCACACCAGGGCTCCTTGATCACTTGTACCTTGTGATCCCCCATTATGCCACCCCACTGGCTGTGTGTTACCATCCGGTCCTCCTTTTCCCCACAGAGCCCAGCCAGTATGATTGTGACTTTGAGTCGGGCTGGTGCGTGTGGCAGCACGCCACCACAGGAACCTTCAAGTGGAGCAGACAGCAGGGGAGTACCTGGTCCGTCGACACCGGGCCAGAGTATGATCACACTACCGGCACCTCTCAAGGTACGCACCTCCCTCTCCATAGATCCGAAAATTGTGGCCATGTCCAACTTTGGTTTTAAGCTCACACTAGGTCCCTCAACCCTGTGATACAAACTTAGGAGGGAGGGTCCTTTTATTTTATGGTATTATAGAAAAGACATCCAAATTGTTCCCAAGTCCAAAAAATACTGATTCTGAGAGGGGAGGCTCTTTGTGTAGAAGGGCATGAATGCCACTTTGAAGCCACAGGGGTGGGTCTCAGGGACGGTCTTTTGTCTGGCCTTGTGAATTCTTTTGTGAGTGGTCTTGCGACTGGCCTTGTGACGGTCTAGACTTGTGTTTGGTCTTCTGAATGGTCTTGTCCTTTTCCCTCCACGCAGGCTACTACGTCTACATCGAGGCATCCGGCCAGACACCAGGCGCCAAGGCCCACATGACCTCCCCTGATATGACCTCGGCCACCCTTGGCAAGTGCGTGCGCTTCTGGTACCACATGTTTGGCCCCAACATTGACACGCTCAATGTGCTGCGGCGGGAGAATGGCAAGGACACAGTGGAGTGGACGCGGAAGGGAGATCAGGGCCCAAAATGGACGCAGGGCCAGGTATTCATTGACGGCAGCTTCGCGGTGAGTAATACTCCACTGGTACGACGTTGGGTACCAGATTTGGGCGTGATGTCATAAAATTGAGTACCGAACATTTGTCAGTAAGCAGCTATAGTCATTCTAAATGTAAAGCAGTTATATTTGAAATAATGTTTACCTCAACAGGGAGTACCTTCATAAGACTTTGAATTTGGTTTGAAGTGATTCAGTTGGGCAATTTTTTTCATTGAGAACATTATTCACCGTGACTGACAGTCAATGAAAATACACCAGTTTGAAATGTTTAAGATTGTGGTCCATTGGTTTTTCCCAGTGGTATACTGCAGTAGCATAACTTGACCAACAAAAAGGGAAACTGTAATCTCCTGCAAGAATTGTTAAGTGCCCAGTGTCTGGTCAATCCCCTCCCCATAACAACTCATCTTCAAAGCCGGAGAGGGGGTACTTTTTAAAGTTCCAAATGTTAATATAATTTATTGGTTCAAAAATAAATTGTCTAGTTTGTCATTAAAGGACTTAGTTGTTCTGAATATGCCATCATGTTGCCCATTTTTCTATTTACTGCTAATGGGTCATCAGGGAGACATTCCCGTAAGAATGTGCACAAAATTTTTCCAACTTAAATGTCCCATAATTCAATATTCCCTAATCTGATCTGAACCAAACTTTGTATGTTTTCATATTAGGCCCTAAACTACCATCTCTCAAAATATGGACAATAAATTCGGCCTCCTTCTGGTAGTTTGAAAATAGGGAGACACTGAAATGTCTCCCTAAAAGCCAATGTCTCTCTAATGCTGAAAAATTTACCACAAAATATCTTCCAAATGACCTATTTGTAACAATTTGGGTCTTACTTAATTTTTACTTTTGTATTTTGTCAAAAGTCATACGTTTATCTAACTTTATAATTCAACAAATATACATCACAGAATGGAAATAAATTTTCAATTTAAAAAAGGAAAGAATGGTTTGTCCTCCAAGTGCCAATTTTTGACAAAGTAAATGTCAACCACAAAGCACAGCTCTAGAAATATTAATTCTAAAAAGGAATTAAAAGTCTAGGAATCCAAAGTGAGACGATCATTGAACGCCTTCACTTTTCCTTCCTAACACCTTTTCCAATTTTGTTTCCTCACTTATAACTGAACAACACCTCGCTTGGTTTTCCAAACTCTCATCCTGTCCAGGTCATATTTGAAGGTGTGCGTGGCAGTTCTTACAAGGGCGACATTGCCCTGGATGACATCGAAGTTTTGAACGGCAAATGCCCTCTCATGAGTAAGACGTTTCCCATGACACCACTTTGATAGGGCTGCTAGAAAAAAGGAAAACCCTGTGCACCGGTATTCACAAATGCATTTCAGCTAGAATTAGAAAGTATAAACCAGTGTTGAAGTCGAGACCATTATAAGGTTCAACAAGACAAGGGCTGAGTCAATTCGACTAATTCACTTTTCAAATATTTGACCTTCAAATCAATTGAATATCCAAATATTCGGTCTTAACGATCAGCAGATTGGTGATGATTCAACCATGTATACAAAATCAGTTGCAAATAATGCACACAATTGTACATTATAATCACGAAAATAATATTCACACGGCTAGAAGTATCTCCAGTCGTGATTTAGCAAGATTTTAGAGCCAAACAATACTTCTTGCCCTGTTGAAAATTTCTATTTTAAATCTTTTAACGATTAATTTACTTTTTGAGTCAATGTAAGATTTCTGTCACTTTTCACTTGAATCTGCTTGAAACAAGCCTCCTTAACCCAAGTTTTCTCATTCAAAATTAAAGAAAATGCCCCCCCCTTCATGAATTTTGCACTTCAGTATTCAAATTCAGAAAACAATATTTGAATATTGGATAATCAATCAAATAGTTGGATAGTCTTTACAGCCCTAAACAAGACCACCAATATGAATCCAAGTCACAAAGTACTCAGATAAAATGCAACAAAAGCATTCCTTCCTGACTTTTCACCCTACTCTTGTGTCTGGCTTTGTGTCTGGTCTTAGAGTGGACTTGACCGCAACACTGGCAGAAGCCGTTGCCAGCACCTACCCTGATTGAATTTACAAATAATTATTTGTAAACCTTTGTAAGGGTGCATTTGCATAAGGAAAATATGCAATTTACCTTGTCATCACCTGAACCTCGTTATAATAAGATTTCAAGTGATTTAGGGCTTCAAAGCTCGGTCTTTACAGTGAGACATTGCTACTTTTATGGACCTCTACTTTCTTTAGCATTTTTTTCTTCTCCGAAGGCGTCTATAGTTCTTTTCCTTTTATCGTTTTCTATCCATGTTGCTTTTAATCAAAGATAGATTAAATATGATTAATTTGTTTCATCATGTAACCAGGTTTATTCATCGTCTTTCAAATTATCCTGTGGTAGTTTTAATGAGAGCTCTGGAGAATTGCATTTTGGGCTTCGTTGCAAAGGTGCATTCGTATCGGTTTCAATCCCTAAATGCCATTTTTTGATGCACAATTTGGGTCATTCATTATGCCCGTGGCAGGCCGCTTTGTAACTTCATCTAAAATGTTTTCCTATTTCCTCTTTTCCAACTACAGTGACTTGCGACTTTGAGCACGGTGATTGCGGCTTTGCCCAGGACAAGACAGACAACTTCGACTGGACGATGGGAACCGGTGCAACGACAACCCCCAATACGGGACCGCCCTACGACCACACCTACCAGAGTGCACAAGGTAAGCAGAATATGATTGGGAGGATCTAGATTTCACAGAGCCATTACGCGCCGAAATTTGCTAAGTGAAGAAATTATTTGCTAATAGGAAAAATGAACTACTTGTCAAAATTAGACACACAGTGTAGTGTAGTGGGGACTGCTTCTGGGTGATATTTGGTCAAAACATTGCTGAGCAGAAGGAAGCCTGCATTGCAACACTGGCTTACCAGTCAAAATGTTACTTCCAGTATATGCAACTCATGGCTGGTTCCCCAGCTTCTAAACCTCATGTAGCAAGTTCACTAAGCAGTAATTTGGCAGCCCCTGCACAATGCGAATGACAGGCATGTGAATTCTGAAAGTTTGATATCGTTAAAAATAATAACAAAATATCTCTTATACTAAAGACTGATCTGAATTGAGAAGATTTTGCTGCTTTGGCAGAGCACTTTTGTGCAGGTCGTGCACACACATGAAATACCTCTTTGACCAATAGGGTGTTGAAGTTTTTCAAAATGTGTGCAGGTGCCACATTTTTTAACGCATGTGCCATTTTCATAAAAATAGCATTTCCATGATTTGCACTCTCACTGTATTATTTCTGATTATAAAGATGAACAAAGAAATTGACTGGAACAGGATCTGAACCTGCTACCTCCGGAACACCGTACCTGTGCTCTACCAACTGAGCTATCCAGCCCCACGTTGGTGGCTCTTCCCATTTGTCAACATCTCTGTTCGGGGGGCACTATTAAGAGTATTGTTTCTGATTAGTCAGCTAAACTAATTGAAATTCATCTTCAGATTTTTAGTTGATACGGAAAGGTAGTTAGCAGTTACGGTAAATTTGTGTTGTGTTGATTTGTTGTGACGTCTCCTTTGATTGCGCAAAAGGACACTACATGTACATCGACGTATCGGGCAAGAGCAACGGTGACATGGCCCGCATCCGCTCGCCCGAGTACCCGGCGACCTTCGGGACGTGCATGAAGTTCTGGTACTACATGGTGGGCGTGGACGTCAACGCCCTGAAGGTGTACGTGGAGGTCAAGGGCAACAAGGGCTCGCCCGTCTGGGACCGCTACTACAACGCCTTCGCCTATTGGATGGTGGCCGAGGTGTCCATCCAGTCAGCTTACCCGTACAGAGTATGATACAACTGGTTACTTATTTATGGGGGATTTGATGTTGACGCATTGAAATGAAAGATCTATAAACATGTACGAGACCATTGGGAGATCATTTACAAGACCAGACACATGACTACTCACAAGATCAGTTACAAGACCAGTCACAAGATCAGTTACAAGACCAGTCACAAGATCAGAAGTGGACCAGTCATAAGGCCAGACACACTACAGAAAACTGTGCACAAGACCAGACACAAGACCAATCATAAGACCAGTCACAAGTAACAGAGTAAACAGTGACCTAAGAAATGCTTCCATTGCCGTTTATTTGAGTAGCCTGTGACCTGGATTGAGACTGGAGGTATTGTAGTGGTCTTTTAATGGTTTTTATTGGGTTGTGTATTGGCCCTAAGGGAGTGCAACTGAAACATTGATTTCAAAATATATCTTCAAATTTTCCTTTAGTCAAAATATTTCAAACTTACATTGGTGAAAGTTGCCCTCAAGTTGTACTTCTTTTAAAAGTAAAAATTCACATCCAAGTTTTTTCTATCTTCAGATTCTCTTTGAGGGCCTGGCCGGCTCGGGACCCAAAGGCGACATCGCCATCGATGACATCGACCTGACGGGCACCACCTGCTCGCGGCCCGGCAGCTGTGACTTCGAGAACGACTTCTGCCTCTACATGAACATCCCCGGCGACGACATGGATTGGCTGCGCAACAAGGGCAGCACGGACAGCTACAACACAGGGCCCTCCATCGACCACACCCTGGGCACGTCCTTCGGCTACTACGTCTACATCGAGACCTCATCGCCCTCCATCAAGGACGACTTTGCCTACCTGATGTCGGAGACGCTGCCACGCCAGGACATGTGCCTCAGCTTCTGGTATCACATGAAGGGAAACCACATAGGTAGGAAGAGACACCAACCTGCATCCAGCACTTTGCCAGCTTCTCAAACTGCAGCAATTCAAAATAAGCCTTTTGCGAGTTAAATTTGGATGAAATCTGGCACATGCACACTTAGACCTTTAAATTCACATGAACATAATAATTTGAACTCTCCATACCGAAGGCACCGTTGCTGTACTGCACCTCGTGATTCGAATCAGGCTTTTGCTTAGTCACAGGAGACGCCTTGCACCAAGACACTGTTTTCATTGAATAAGAAGAGCACCAAGGAGCCAGTCCATTCCAGAGATGGCAGTTGCTATGCAGAATCAAAATCATGAGGTGCAGCAACAGTGTCTTTAGTCTAGGGAATTCAACTGATAATAGTCTTGTGCAATCAGAAAACTCAGTGGACCAGATTTATGCAAATTTAACTCGCTAAAGGCTTATTCAGTGCACCCCAAACATTTGTCCTCAGAAGGTCCGTATCAGGATCAACATCAGAACTGTGGGACACTAGCTACAGCACTTTAAAGTTGGTGGTATCCAGCCAGCGGCATAGCCAGGGTTCTCACTGTGGGGGAAGGGGGGTTCAAGTTGGTTCAAGTCTTAACATTTTCTTAGTGATGCTGTTATTTTCTTTGTTCACATTTCCAGTGGAGGGGGGCAATAATTTGTCGGGGGGGGGGGTGTTTTCCTTCCCCAGCCCCCTCAGCTTTGTTGTTGCATCCATTTGCAAATAGTTTCAACCTTTACAAGGCTGTGCACCCTTCTGTTGATTTTAGCCCTCCAACGAAAGTTAAGCAGTTGCAGCATCTTGTCTATTGTATTGTTGATAATATCCACCCCAGAGGTGACTCCGAGCCATGGGTCACTTGAACTGAGTCTGAGGACGTGACTCGCGTTCGAGTTTAAAAATTTGACATTGCGAGTTTGGTTCGAGTCACGTTGCCTCATGGGTCCAATCTCCATTCATAACGTATGCTGTGGATCAACCAACTGGTCATCCCTCAAACCCCCTTGTAAAAGTCTCTCTTCTCGGCTTCTTTGTCCAGGTACCTTGAATGTCTGGCAGCAGACCAACATCCTGCATCCCCTCTTCTGGACTAAACTCTGGAGCGAGGACAAGGAGCAAGGGGACGTCTGGCTCCACACCCTGGTGGACGCACCCAAGCCCAGCACCGTCTATGAGGTCAGCACGACAGACACTGTTGCACAAGCCCATGTAAACTTTTGTACACATTCTGACGAAATTTTTCTGTGCATACCCTGCTCTGTGCATGGGGATCAGCACCCCCTACACTGTGCTCCAACGCTTAGGCATCTGAGCCCAGGTCTTTGTTGATGAGGAGAAGATTTTGATTGTCAGGGAAACTTTGCCCCAGCATTTTGATATTAAATTTGGAAATCAACAATCATACTGGACAATCTCATTTCCTTGATCCATCCTTACAGTGACCAGAGTTAGAGATCAGTGCTGTAGCCTAGTCCCTACAAATCCATCACAAGTCACCCAGTCAATAAGCAAAAGTCACAAGCTATCCCACTGTAACAAAAGCATTTGTCGCTGTTCACCCCATTATTGTGGCAAGTCTTATAAGGGGACTTGTGACTAGACTTGTGAAAGGACTTTGATGGACTTGACTGCAACACTGGTAGAGATTTCATCCCATTTGCCATCTGATTGTTGTTCATCCGGATACAGAATAGTCGCCATTTTAAACCATGTCCAATCAAACCCCCCTGTTCCACAGATCGTCTTCCAAGGGATCAAGGGCTCCAGTTACCAAGGCGACATCGCCATCGACGACATCCAGATGTACAAGGGGCTGTGCACGCCCCCCACTCCAGCCCCGCCCTGCCAGTTCAACTGCAAGAATGGAAAGTGCCTGACGGACAAGACACAGATTTGCAACTTTGTGGATGACTGCGGTGACAAGTCAGAGGAGGCCAACTGTGGTAATTATTTCTTTGTTAAATTTATTTGAAGATTTCCATTCACTATTAGCTGAAACATGGTTATGCTTTGGAGTAGCGTGAT